GTCTGAGAAATTTGTAAAACTGTGTTTTGCGGTAATTTCTTAATAGAAGATTCAATGACTACTTAATTCTCCCTTACGCAAAAAATCTGATTTCTTTATATTCTACAGGTTTATCTTTCACAGGTAGTGATAAAATACACACTGCATAACAATGAAAAGTTCCAATGGCAACATGGCAATAAAATTAACTAAAGACTACTCAGATTTTGTTCTGGTAAAATGCAATACTCTCTTCCTTTCATCTGATTAAGAAGTTATAAAAATGTGCACACTTTGCATGATAGGATGTATGACACCAACAGCCTTCCTAGATTTACTACTAACAGACTAAAGGAGACAATCAGATATTAATAAAAAAGGGCTGCTTTTCTTCAGTACAAACGAACGTGCTTCTAGCAACTGTTACTGCACATATTTTGCTTTCATTTTTTCATGCTTTGATATAAATGCATCAGGTGTGGAAAATAAATGTTTTAAATAAATTGCAGTTAAAAATAACTTTTAAATTTAAGTTAAAAATAGTTTAAATGAGCGACCAGAGAGAGAACAACACTGTGGTGTTATCTTTTGCCTCTGAAGACAGAAAAAACTTCCCACAACAATACATTTAACGAACCAGAACACTTGGAATTAAAGTTTTCAGGGCACTCAAAACAGACCAACTTTCACATGCATTGTTTTGAATCCTCTTCAGTCTCTATCAGTTCAACCTCACTCAGAAGACTCTGAGGCTCTTTTTTTTCCCCAAACTTTTCCAGACAGCCCTGGAAGGCTTTGGATAGAATTTAAACGATTTCAGGATCTTTTATTTCCGATCGCTCTATAGCATTGCAAAACAAAAGTGACGCTTTCTATGTTAGAGGAGCGCTCTCCTCCCCCCTCCCCCCAGTGTGTAGGATTTTTAAAAGTGAAAGTTAGAGAAATAATCTTCTTCATCCTGACATGTTTTCAATCCTCTTAAAACAATCTCAACAACTATATATAGTATGAAATTAGCTCTCGCCTGCTACCCTTGTTCCTACATAGAATTTTCTAATGTGTCTCACCAGTAATAAATTGTAAACGAGGCTATGACTCTAAGAGTAGACAGTGTGTTTCATGGGTATTTAAACAACAGCATTAAGTACTATAGGAATCTGTGGAATGTGGAGGGCAGATTTATGTGTCTTAACAATTTCTTTACTGGTTTGTAATAAGCCAGCAAACTAACACTTTATTTTTATATTAATTTGGCCTCAGAAGTAGAGTATACTGGAGCATGACAAGAACAACAAAAATAAACTGGCATATACTTAATAACTGTAACAGTGAATTGCCTCCAATACTAAAATATTTATCGAAACTGGGGGGAAAAAAAAACCTAAAAAGAATTACCCTCAACAGCCTGCTACCAGCTCTTTAACAGTGGGCAATGTAATGCCTTAAGGTACCTCAAACTGTCTTTCATTTTCTAGACTTAATGGCTGATTGCAGAAATCAATGTTGCCATTAGTAACAGAGTATTTGTTATGGCATGATTTCCTCTGTTGTTAGGCTTGCAGAATGATTACAGTATTAGTGAGGTGCTTTCTTTATAAAGGGCTGAAGATATAACTTTCAATTTACTATCCATTAGTAAGTGACTTTGGAAATATAGATGAGGCCAGAAATCTTACCTGTTATTACTTGGAGATTTTATTTCAGCAGTCATAGGCTAGTAAGTTTAAAAATTGTACCAGGAAGCTCAATATTTTATAGACATCTCCAGTGAAATATTATCTGCTTTGCTATTTTATACACAGCAAGTTAACGTGACATACAATGCAATTAAAATGTTTCAGTCCAATTTCTATTTTTCTTGTACTTTCAAATAGATGTGATTTAAGCAGAAGGCTTCATACATGTTAAAATGTGCATATAAGTTACAAGATTGTCAAAAAGTTAGTAATATGTATATCTGAATCTCTTCTCATCAGTCCGGTGGCCAGGTACAAGTAGATACCTCAGCTAAGTAATTGATAGAGTTGTGGGAATAAGGGCAATCAGAGAGGTTAGCCAACACGCTGCTTATTAATCCTATTTCTTTGCACTATAGCTCAAAGAAGGCATCTTTCCTCGCCCTTTTAAATGGAGGACATGGACAGATCTGCAAGAGAGACACCATGAATAGAAGAGGAGAAAAAAAAAAACAAACAACACCTTCCAAAACCTGGAGGGAGAGGCCCTGGAAGTGACATTGCCATTGGTGACTGTGCAGCCCCTGCCCGCTGCTGCCGGTGGGGTGGTGGAGGTGACAGCTGAAGGGCTGGGAAACCTGCCCTTGGAGGGGAGAAAAGGGTGAGCTGAGAATTAACCTGGAAGGCATCTCGGGAACCCGCACACAGATGTTCTGGCACATAACACCACATCCCTGTGGACCGCTAGGGAACAGCCTAACGAATGCATAAACTACTCTGCTGCTGTGATTTCAAATACAGCCACGAAGCTTTCAAAGCAGAGAGGGAAGGAGAAGTTACCATACCTGAAGAGGAGGGTGAGGAAGGATGCGGGCTGTCCTCCTGGGCACTCCCCGTCTGCGAGAGCCCCCCACCTACTCCGCTTTCTTCAGTAATGTTGGAGGACCCTGGTGTTGTCGACCTGCTGACAGACTGAGACTCTTGATCGCTTCCAGAGCCACGGCGCTCATCGAGGCCACCTTGAATTATTTCGTCTTCTCCTTTCCTGTCTCTTTTGTGGACCCTGGAGTGAACGACCACTTGGTGGTATGTTCTAAAAACCCTTCCACAGTCCGGGCATTCAGTTGGCTTTTCTTTTACGTTTCCATGACTTTGTAAGTTGTAATCGAGTCCCTGGTTCATACCATGTGACAAAAAATCTCTACTGCCTTCTAAAGGGTCTAGTTTGTTTGGCAAGTCTCTCTGATTGCCCATTTTAGTGCTGTGAACCAAATCAGCAGGCATTTTCTGCTTAGAGCCATCTGCTCCTACTAACACATACTCCCGCTTCTCCTTATCAAACATAACTCCAGCATTTGCCAAAGTGTCTTCATGGCTGCGCTGTATCTGCTGCTCTTTAGACAAAAAGCCATGTTCCATGGCCATTCCCCTTGCCATAAGCTGCCAGGCCTGATAGCTGTTTACTGGATCCATCTCCGCCGCTTTGGCGGCAGCTTGTAACCTTTCTATACAGCTGGATTTCAGAGGAGGCACCAGATTGAGACAGCCCAATAAAGAATGTTTATCCCCTTCAGCAATACTGTGGCCGATGCCAGAAATGGGCGAAAGGAGCTTCCCCAAGACTTCTTTCTCTTTCATGGGCATATCGCCTTTGTTATAGATTTGATTTTGTTCACTTAAGCTCGCTTTGTCGGGAGGAAGAAACCCGCTTTGCAAACACGACAGGTATCTCGAATACAGGTTCGCATGAGCTTCCTGGGACATGCTGCTGATGGAGACAGGTACTTCGGGATCATTAGGAGATTTGTTCTTTACAGACAACTTATTCAGGTGAACTTTCATGTGATTTTTAAGAAACCAAGGCTCTTTGAATCGCCTCCCGCAGATCTGACAGCAGTGTTCAAAGGAATCCTTGTGCTTCCTCATGTGGCCTTTAAGGAACCAGGCCTGGCTAAACACCTGGCCGCACACCTCACAACGGAACTCGTTGGTGGATTGCTCCCCGTTCCCGTTGGAGCCCTGGCCTTGTGCCGACTCCGCAGTTATGTGAGCCTTCTCCACATGGCTGATCAGCTCCTCCTCCTGCGAGGCGGCGAAGTCGCACAGGGTGCACTTGTAAGGCTTGTGCAGGATCCTGATGTGCCTGTCCAGCTCTTCTCGCTTCTTAAACTTGCCTTTGCAAAAGGTGCATCTGAACCCAGCTGTCTGAGCGACGACTTCTTCCTGGACGCTGACTGGCTTTGGAGAGGGAACAGGGTTTGAAATATCCGGTGTGTTGTGATTTGCTGGCACAGACAGGTTACAGTTTGCGAGAGGCATCGGCTGGGCGTGCTGCTGTGCTTTCACGTCGGGTCGGGGCTGCAAGAGGCTGCTCTTCATCTGTTTGTCCCGAAGAATCGCTCTCTCCTCCAGCTCATGTAAAAGTCTGTTTTCTTCTCGGACTCTTCCACGACCTTTGCCAAGGTTTCCCAGCTTATGAGTACGCAGGTGTATCTTCAGGTTGCCTTTTTGAGCTGCTCTGTGGTCGCAGTATGGACACTTAAACGGTTTCTCTCCAGTATGAGTTCGCATGTGCAGCGACAGGATGCTGTTAAATCGAAAGCGCTTCCCACAGAGGGGACACGGGTACTTTCTGTTTTTCCTGGCATCATCCTCTATATCGCTCATCTGAGACATAATCCCTAGGTTTTGTCCATTTAAGAACTGCTGCAGATCCACGCGCCCGTTCAAACTGGTGTCGACCTCTCTGTTGAGCTGGTTTGCCAACAAGGCCATCTGACTGCTGATGGGCTGGTTTGCTATGGACATGTGGCTTTTGTCTTCTAGAGGTGCTGAGGCCTTCTCCTCTGGATTCTGCCTGTTCTGGAGCTCCGGGAAGGCATGGCTGAGCTGGGAAGTGATCTGGTGCAGCTTCTGGCTCATTGAATACTGCCCATTGAGCAGGGTGTTGTTGAGATGGGCGTCCGCTTCTGGCACAGCTGAAGAAACACCAAGGCACAAACTAGCTTCCTCCATCTCTGAAAATCAGAAGATATTTTAGATTCAGACTGTGAAAGAGTTACAAGCGTGGAATCACTGACGTACAATTTGCATTTTATGTTTTACCTACTCATAATAATGCAAAGGAATTAGTGTAAAAACAATAAAAAGTGTATTAAATGCCAACTGTGCTACACAATTTTGATCATACATGTGCTTTCATCATTCTGCATCTTTACCAATAACCATTAATTACTATTTTTAAATATGCTACAGTTTCAAAATCTAATTATTATGGAAGGGGCAAAAGCTTTTACCACCTCCCTTGTCTTTCTTCTTGTGAAATTGCACCTGTTTACATTTCTGAATCTATAGAAAAAGAAATGTTATGCATCTCTCCCATTTCCATTAGAAAAGACAGGGGAAAAAAAAAAAAAAAACACAAACCAAAAACAAAAATAGAAATCCATTTGTAACTTTCAGTTCCATTAACCATATTCAATATATTACACATTCTACAATGAGAAAGATAGTTTTATGATTTGACAAAAAAACGATGGTATGATATTTACTGGTGTACAATAAAACAAGATAATGTTTTGGGAAAAAATAAAGTAAAGGACAAGCTTTAGAACAATAAAAGGGATTTTGCTTTAGTCAACAAAAAGTGCAGTAATATCTCATTAAGCTGATTAGTATGCTGCTTAGAAACAGTACTAGGTGCTGTAACACATGATTATAATCATAAAAATCCTTCAGTGTTTGCAAGTAAGCATTAACGAGGTATATTAAATTTTAAGGAGACTGCGACTAGCAGCTTTGTAAACCTCTGAGATTAAGATTTAACCCTTCTGTTACAAAACATTGTTATTTTGTCAATTTGAAACTGAGCCCATCAAAAAGCACATAAATTATCTTCTGCCAAGTCTTTTAATTCATCGTTGAGAACCTTCAGATTTCAGTTCTTAGGAAAACTTGCCAGATTATAGAAGGAATATCTCTGTCCTTCGATGGGTAAGACATGTGATTTAAGGGACTTTGATTTGTTTTAAAGAGCTCTCTTATGGAACTAGATAAAACCAATTAAAATCTGGGGAAGGTGTTGTGGAAAGCCTCAACAAGTTTAAGAATTTTAATAACTTTCCTAATACACAGTAATGACTACAAATTGTACCTACACTATATATATTGTAGAAAATTAGAATTCAAAGCTGTTTGTTAAACACAAGTGCTCTGTTCTGGTCTGCATAATCGTCCACAATAATCTTCTATCCTTGCCACTTCCCTACTCTATACAGAAATAATGTATCTATAAAATCCTATTTAAAATATAAAGTTTTACATTAATAACTCTCAAACTATACGATGCTATAAGGTTATTTTAGAACATAATTAAGATCTGTGTTGTTCAGTGGAGTGATTTAACACTTTATTCACTAATAAAATTACTGAATTCTATACGTTATTGAATAATTAATTTGGTCAATTTTCAGTTTGGCTTTAGCCAAAAGCATTTACTCGCTGTGCCTTCTACAAAGGCTGCAGGCACACTCCAGGTGGACACCATTCCTCACATGGCTTCACAGTGGCCACTCACTAGACAACTTGAGGCCCAAATCTGGCACATACTTAAAATGCATGTAATTGTGCTCATGGGAGTAGTCCAGTAGACTTCAAAGGGTGACTCTTGAAAGCAAAGTTCCACACATGCTTAAGTATTTGCAGGATCAGGGCCTAAAAAAAAAAAAAGCATGGGTGGTCTCCAAGAGGAGACCTATTTGGTCCACGACAGGATGATTGAGGTTGTGATACAATGCAGATCTTGTAAGAAGTAAAGGGGGAAGTGTATATTCATGTCTATTAAAGATGAACATGAGGTACCAAATTTTGCTTAGATGTAAACCAGATCTTTTTCACAGTTTAACAGTGTTCAGAGTCAGGTTTAATTTTGGAGACTTGTATGCTATCAATGTTGTTATCTATAAAAATATTAATGATATCAAGTATATAAAAGGAAAAGGCTTATACCTATAAGCTATGGGACTGTACATAAGTTTGGCTTGCAGTATCTGATTTCCGAAGGTAGGGGAACACAGTCAAGCCAGGTGTTCACCCAAGGCCACGAAGCCAATAAAATTCTTGGTTTCCATGAAAGTTTTCTGTGCAGCAGACCACAATCAGTCAGAATGTGGGTACGCACAAACACATTTTTTTAACATTTTTGGAAGTTTGCTTAACTTTTGAAACAAGGCAAATTTCACATTCAAAAGGATTAGCTTAACATCTGAGCATCGTAGTGCTTACGCCTGCCGTTGCCTTAAGGTGACTGTGATTTTGAGTATCTGCATACCCACTTGCTAAAAATAAACTTAAAAAACCCAAACAAACAACAAAAAAAACCCAACCCACAAGCAACAAAGCCCCCAAACCAAACAAAAAACAGAATCCACTTTCTGTATGTATTCCATGTGCCACAGGTATTATTTCTCCTCATCATGCTTAAAAAAGGCATGTTGGCAAACAAGAACATAAAAATTCAAGAAATGCATTGCGTCTACAGACACATATATATATAACGAAGAGGGTTTAGGAAAGTCTGTGTGAATTGTCATTATTCTTTAACAGCTTGAAAAATGCAGTCTAAATTTCATTTATTCAGTTGACCTCAATGGGAACTGGTGCCTTTACAAGCTCAGGAAGGTTTGGGTAGTTAATTTTAGCATTTTATGCTCTATCGAAGTTTGGAAATGCTGACAGATCCCAGTGGAGTTTATTAATTCTGATGTTTAACCCTAAGCATCAGTTCAAACGTATGGTTACTTGGATTGAGGAGGGGAGAGGGATTTGTGGTTGAGATTCTAAGTTATTCTGTGGCTCTTTTTTTCAAAGATAACTTTAATAAAGTAACAACAGCAGTTATTGTTGGAACATGATAATTTTTTCTAATTTTTATTTTGCTGTAATGTCTCCCACAAACATACACACACAATGTAGAATATAGATAGGATGAGTTGAAAAAAAGATAATCAAGAAGAAGACCAAACCCTTAATTTTTCATTTAAAAACTAATAATTTAGGATCGAGCCTGGGGAGCCTGACCCCAAGCACATTGATCTTTTGGCACTGGAAATTTTATAGGTTTTTCATGAAATATGGAGAAAAGTAAGAACTGCTTAGTAAGAAATAACCACCTGTAAATGCCACTTATTCTGACTAGCTGTTCAGTTTCTAGGATCTAGTTACCGCAATCTCAAGATGCTACAGTTTCTTCACTTTAACTGTATTCCCACCCTCACCTGCCCCAGCTTCTTGGAGTCTTGTCTCCTGCCTCTGGCTCTGAATAGTCAGATCAGACAAATCAGACTCTCAGTTTTCTTCAGCCCATTCACAGCAAAACCTACCAAAATCTCATCGTGTATCCACTTGCAAGACAGAAATAAAACTCCTCCTCATCCATCATTCCACTATGAATTAGATAACCCCATCTAATTTACCTAATTTCTCTTAAAAAAATTAGCAATTTTATTCTCTCCCTCTTTATCCATCATCCCTGTCTAGATCTATGGCCAGAGAGGGTTACACCAGGTGGGGAAAAGGGCTTTCGTTCTCCACCCAGTGAGCCTCTTGCTTCAGGCCTTGCAGGTTGAAGTCCCCAGCTTGGTGTGATGGTGGTCACTGCACAGCCTCTTCCCCTGGGGTAGGACCCTCTCCCAAGATCTGGCTGCTCTCCACAACACCCAGCAGGTCCAGAATCTTTTGCCCCACAGCCATGCAGTTGTTATGCCTCCATATGGACCTCCCTATAGCCACAACTGTCCTCCTCACAGTGGCCTGATGTCCAATTCTACCGTATCCATTCTGCCCCAACAACTAAATGCTAAAAAAAGTAATAAAACCTCATGTGAATGGACCTCATTGAAATTCACCCTTTAACAGATAACCAGTTTGTAATTCCAGCTGTTTTGACAAAATAAGTATTTTTCACAACATCAGCCTTCATTATGACCTGCCCTTCTTGCCTCCCCAAACCAGAACACGAGGTAGTCAAAAACAACAAATCTGGAAATGCCAGTTTATAAGTGCTGATGTGAAGCTTCATAGGAGGGAAAACTTCTAGCTTTCAATTTTAAATATGTAGTCTACTACGTTATTTTCATGATTCTGATCTCTCTTGTAAGGAAAACACAGAACGTTTTGCCACCGCTCGCACTGGGAACAGAAGCACAATGTTCTCTGCAGTTAACGTATGTTTAGAAAAATCAACTGCAAAACAAATGGGAGATTGTTGAGAAATTCAAAATACGGCTGCTGAAATTTACGTGGTACATTTTTGACCTTTCATTATCTCAAACGTTTTGTCCCACCGAGACGCGGCACCGCACAGAGCGTGCTGGGATCAGGAGTTGTTCCCGGGCTGCCCTTCCCAACCTAAACAAACCCTGAGCTCTCCCACAGGCCAAAGCCTGATGCTCACCCTGGTACCTGCAGGCTCTCAACCCACCTGGTCCAGGATCTGCTCGGGGCAGCGTTGGGACCAAACCAGCCCCTCAGTCCCGTACGGAGCCAACACACCATCAGAGGACAGCCCTTCACCATACGGGTGTGCAGCTCCCCATTCCTGCGAGGAGGGCACTCAGCTTATGAAATTCACAACTGGATACATCTATTATAAAAATACTCTCTCATCTCCCACATGAAGGTACAGCGAGGCGTTCAAGTGCCTTTGATGATACTAATAGTTATTTTGATTTCACTCACATTTTTGCCCTCAAGACTATTTCCTGTGATATCAATAACGAAAGTTCTGACTTTAGCCATTTCAATTGAACACACAGATTTTATTTAACTATTTGAAATGGATTACTGGAATTTAAAACCAATTATGACACCAGAAATGCCTGTCATCACAACTACATTAATGTAATATGAGAAGCTCGGCTTCCTTTTGCTGGAAACAGAGGAAAAAAAAAAAGAGATGGCAAATAGATTAAAAAAAAATAGTTTAAATATAAATATATGCCTACACACACATGTAAAC